GGTCGGTCGGTCGGTCGGTCGGTCGGTCGGTCGGTCGGTCGGTCGCAACTGCGGGATGGGATTCTTGGAAGGAGCGGAAAAACTTTCGGATCTTCTCCAGTTTTTTCGGACGCTCGATTCCGCTCTGGAACCTATAGCGTTTCGTGTCGGATGTCGTCCCACCGCTTTCGTTGAATAAGAAGCTGAATCCAAGCGGATACCGATCGCTGCTCGGGAACGAGAGACTGGACGAGAGATCGGATGAACAAAACTTGTAGGAAGCTCGTGACCTTCCGATGACCCCCATTACGAATCCGATGACGAGCGTTCGACGCTTATCAGCCCTTACCATCCGGGTTTTATTCATTAACCAATGCCGTGACAGCCTTCGGTCGACTGCGCATCATATCGGAATTAATCCTCGCCGCTATCGTTGTTTGTAGTTCGAAGGAGGCATCCATCGGCATCGGATATCTTCGGCGTCCATACTTTCATTCTTCGTCGTCGTCTCACGATCGAATTGAAATAATGAGAAAAATTGGCACGCATGCGAGATGCGAGTAGCGATGTCGTAACCTTAATTGAGTTTTTTTTCTTAAACAATCAAAATCTCGCAAGCTCCCTCTCGACCAAACCCTAACACACCCTCACGGAACTTCGTCGGAATCCACAATAGACATCGCTGGACATCACTACTGCGGATCAAACACTCGAATTTCGGAAGGGCCGATTGTACGAAGGCCGAAATTTACCAATTCTTCTTTTCTTCTTTTTTTACCTCAAAACGGAACAACGGGTGGATCGCCTTCTTTGAGTGTTCGTGCGGCTTTTCCTCTATTATTGGGTTGGTCCGTTGATTGGTTCAGAGTTCTGATTGGCGACCTTGGGTTTCTGCTGTTATTAGCTTCCCCTGTGGTGGACACAAAATGTCGGCTTTTGTTTTAGATGTACTTCCGAATCCGAGTCGCCAGAGTTTTAGGAGCTGACGCCGTTGATAGTCCGGCTTCGGGCGCTGCACCAAACAGAATACTGAATGTATGTGTGTAATGATGGGTCAGGAGAAGGAAGTATTTCCTCATATCAGAGTATGATGCTTTCGAGTCATTTTAATTCTTGTGGCCCCTTGCGTACTCGCTCTACGGATCGCCTCGCGATCGACTGGTCGAGGGCTTCCACGAACGATCGAGCGGAGTCCATCCAGGAATCTCGGAATTTTTTTCCGCGTCAACCGAAAATTTCCACGATGTCGATGCTCCTGGTCGCAACGCTGCGAGCAGCTGTTTCAAGCCGACCATCGAACGACTGCTCCAAGATTGTCTGCGGCAGAATGTTGACAGAGCATGACTCATGGCGCTGAGAGCAGAATTAATCCCAGATGCCGTGTTTTCTCTCACTCGGACGATCCGAGTCGATGCTGCTTCTCTTGTTCAGAGTCGATCATCTGAGTTTTCGCAGTGAGTCACGTCCTGAATTTCAGATCACACGTGACACCTACAAACGTTCCAACATTTCGGGGATCGGTCAACGCGGTGGTACGCACTTACCGAACTTGGAACGAAGGTCGCGCCTCATCCCAGAATGAATAGTAAACACTTCCGTCACGCGGCGATCGAGCGCGACGCACATTTTAACAGTATTCGAGGGCTATGTATGTGTGTTGACTGATAATACTGCCGTCGAGCGAACCAGGGAACATCCGTGCTCTTGCTCCCGGTCGATCATCAGACGAGTGATATTTCGAAATTTCCGTTATTGTAAGTGCTGGAAGCTCATCGACCGAGTGTCGCGCGCGAATGGAAATTTCCCCCGCGTATAATGTGTTCGCTCAGGGGCGTATCTTCGGGACGAGTCTTTTTCATTTTGAAAAAGTGCAGACAAACGAGAAGCTCGCTCATTGACTCACTGCGGAACGCAACCGAGCCCATTGATAGCTCAAGTCTTCTCCTCAAGCTTCTTCTCTTCCCGGTGCGCCAGAAGGCGACGGGACGCTCCCCCTCAGGATTCGATGCACCGCAACCCACAATCGGAGAAGGACGTACAGATTGCTAGAATCTCTCCGAATCATTATAGAAAATGGTGCATCGAGAACTCCAATCCGACGTGGAAGGGGATCCTCGAGACATTCGAGCTGTGGGCACATTCTCGTCCCACCGACAGTGCCATATTCACGCAGCTACGCGAGGCACTCCGATCGACATTCTGACATTCACTCCAGCCCCCTCATTCAGTTTTCTCCTCACCCAGCAAGGATTCTCGAGAGCGAGCGAGACTTCTATCGGTCGCTCGGATTTCGATCCGAAGTCTTCACAGACGAAAGCGAAAACGCATATCGAAGATGAGCAAATGAGCCTCATTGTTGGCTTATCGGTCAAAAGCTCTTGAACAGGTCCTTGGGTGCATGATTGTTGTCTGTTGCGACACTGTTTACCACGAATAATTATTGTGAAATTCTCTCCTCTCGATATAGTCCACGAGAAAATTTTGATCTTCGCTCATTCTGAAGACATCGAGCGATCCCTACACGGACCGAGAAAGTTCTGGATGTTACGGAATGATTTCCGTGATTCCGCTGGACAATCAAGAGTTGGCACGCTGTTCCGAGAGCAGCTGAAGAAAATTTCTGACGCGACGAAAATGCCGAATTCACCCGATTTGAGGCGATTCCTTGGTCGCTGTCATCGCTTCTACCGGTTCTGGTTGAATCTTGCACCGTTCGTCACCATCATTGATCATGAATCATGTCGACGGCGACAACGGTGCGCGGCCAAAGATGTTCCCGGCAAGGCCACGATCTGCCAGGAGCCTCAGCCCACAAATGGGGCATTGAATCCGGAGAGGAACGTGAGCATTCTATCGAATTTTCTCAGCTGGCTGGTCTTCGACTGAATTCAAATTCACATGGTACTGCCCACGCATAGTCAGTGGGGCTAGTCCTAGTATTGGGAGGATGGTCCGAAGCTTGACGACCCTGACCCGACGCGACGTCGGCGAACTTCACGGATCCATCGCGTCTGGTCCGTCCGTAGCTTGCCTGGCTCTGCTTTAATCACGGCATTTAATGTGGTCCCGCGACGGCAAAGCTCACTGACTGACCGCCGATATCTGCTTCATAACCCATTTGAAACTCTCATTGTGAAAAGAGATCGTACGCAATCGTTGCATTGAAAGTCCGGTGTGTTGTTCCCTCCGAGAGCCGCCCAATCCAGAATGGGTGGCCAAGTTTCCCTTTGTAATCTTCAGGGACGGCTTTATATTCCGCATGGTTGGCCCACGTGCGACGAAAGTATCGACGAGGAATCGGAGTGCTCTACTCTCCATGTGAGGAAGGGTAGGAAAAATTCACCGTCGGATGACCCAAGCGAGGGAAGTCCCCTCCATCGGTTTCTCGGTGAATTGGACTTACGGAGGAAAGATTTCGGGTTGATTTCAGTGGAATCACGGCTGACACTGTGGTAGGGAAAGTTTCGATAAGATACAGCAGATTCAAGCCGGGAGGACGACGGATGCTCCGTTGAGCAACGTTCTCCGCTCAAGATATCGGTCACTTTTGACAGCTTTCTAGGAACGTATCAATATCATTTCGGTTGATTATTTCATCATCCTCAATCTGCTTGGTTTTTTTTATATTCTTTGTTGACATCGCGTCCCCTGCGAAATTTTCGATCTTCCCGAACATACATTGTTTCCGCTGATTTTCTTAGCCTCGAGTTGCGCTTTCAAATCGAGAAGTTCATCAGGTCTACGCCGGGGAGTAATTCCCTCTACTGGGAGAAAAATGAACGCAATCTGATTGCACGTGATGCTCGGACCTTGTGTTTTGGAAACCTTCTAATGATCCGGATGCTGCTCCGACACAAGCAAACATCTTCTGCTTGCCACATGGAGCCCACACTTCACGCAAGAGTGCAGACGAAATTCCAGGAGCGAAGAACCTCGAAATGCCTTGCATGCGCGTTATCTTGGTCCATCATAGAAAGCGATTTAGCGAACGAGCCATAAGAGAAGTTTTTGCTTTACGGCATTGGCATACTTCGATCGTAGTTACTGATCCAAACTTGAGTGGATGCTCCGTCGCGCGTCAGACGAAATCGCGACGCGTAACGCCCTTCTATCTCAGGCCGATTCATCCTCCACCGGAGTGTCATTCGACTAAGCTGGGCCTCCATGGTTGACGCGGAGAGCCTACTTTTGGAAGCTCCTATGTAGTAATGACGCCGGTGCCGTGACTGCCTACATTGTTTCCGTTCGGGGAATCAACTGCAATTCCATCGGCAATTGCGGTTTGTAAACAAGAGCGGCGTAACAAAGAGCTCAGCCTGAGACTATCACGGCACAATGGTGCTGGAAAGCTGAATGGGTGTTCCAGTGTTTCTCCTGGCTATAACGAAACCTTGGATTCTGAATGATTCCGACAGCTTTCAAGAGGAATGCATGCAGCAATTATTCCGCGGGATATTCGCCCCCGATTATCGGACCCTTCGCGGCCGGATTTTCCCTCGAGATTCCGGAGAACATCAATATTCGAATCGAACCAAGGCAATCCACGTCACAGGGAGGATATTCTCGAAGTGACCGGAAGGCCATGTACATTGTATATGAGGCTCCCTAATGTTTGTTTCTTTTTGCGAGTTTCAGGAAGTCCTAGTCAGCATCTTCATCCAGTGATGTTTGAAAAATGATGTGCATGTTCGACCTTTTCAAAAACTGTCTCATCCTTAGGTGAGTTTCGAACTGGGAAGCTGTAGAGGCTGAGAGCTATTTATCTCCTCATCATGAGTTGCCTGCGAAGCTTCGCTTCTAGCGTGACTGGATGGGGCGTCGTATGCTATGGGACGGTAGGGTGAAAGATCGACCCTGCGCGCGAGTCGCGAACAGGGAATGCCATATCGACACGGTAGCCTGGAATACATCCCTTCATGGAAGAATGGGCTGAAAAGGAGCAGGCACGGTTGAATAGGAACGACCCATAGGAAACCGATCTTGAAAAGAGAAAAGTGTATCTATGTGTTGGCCAATATTTCGCTGCACAATGGCAGTGGTCGACATCTGGAGCGGCGAGCTGCTTTATCGGGCTATGATTCGCTTCATATGGGCATGCTGCTCGCTGGCCCGGGCTGACCGGGGCGTCGGAAGACTGTCGCACCAGAGGCAACGGGGTAATACCGGACTCTGTGGACGCCAGCGGCGAACCTGGAGCAACTACGATGATGAGAACGCAGGCGTCGGGAGCGGCTTCCAAACTGAGAGAAAGGTTGGAGGGGACCTACGAATTTTCGTGAGTCACGCGCGGGAACGGTCGCGGTGACGGTTCGCGATGTCTTTCGTCAAGATCGTCTGTGGCGGGCTCCGCCAACTTTCCGAGAAACCGCCCCGTGAACAAAAATGAGAATGATTTATGCTCACTGACCCATTGACGTCAGTTGGCGTTGAAGTTCAATGGAATATCCCAGAGCGACAATCACTCCGATCTTCCATGGCTGAGAAGCAGCAACAGCCTCAGCGACTGCTCGTCCCGATGCGATTTCCCCGCATCAATCATAGAGGCGATTTCGGAAATCGGAAGACTGTCCCAAACTCGCGATATTCATTTTGTTGATCGTGCGTGAACTTGAGGTTCGATAAATATGTAGTACAAGGACGCGGCGACACTCGATGCGGGATCGCTCATCGGGACGGAATTCGTCATCTTCGGCTCCAAGCCCATTACAAGAATGATTGCGTATCTTGAGTCATGCCCACCTTTCGACCGGCTACTTTAACGTTCGAAATCCGGAGCCGCGTGGCTGATCTTGGCGAAAGGATTACCTAGTGAAAGACGATTCAACTGTTCTGATTCTACGTTTTTTCCGTGCTCAATCAGAGAATGATCCGACGTCGCCGGCTCCCGCATAAAAATCACTTCAATTCATACCTGCCGTGGAAGGTACTCAAGATAACCTTGCTCTTTCAAAGTGCTTTTGTTCTCTTCGGAGAACTCTTGCTCCGTTTCTGGCCTACCCGCCCGCTGCTGTGACGCAATTCGGGAAGCGGAGAAAAGTTGATTTATCAACAAGTATGATTTCGGGCGTTGTCTCAATGGTGAGAAACACTGCAAGTCTGACGGGGTGCATTTTCGACTTTTTTGACGCTCCCGAAGGTCATTTCAGCGCTCGGGTCGGAAAATAACCATAGTCCTTATACCGGATTCAATGCATACCGAGGGCATTCGTATGGTTTCAATGGGGCCTATTGGAAGCACCAGATAAGAAAGCCTCGGAAGCAGTCGTGCCAGAACCCTCCGCCAAAGAAGCCTCTGATGGACGTCTTCCAATTCACCTCGATCGCCGTATCCTTCACCATACTCCACGGAGCGTGGCGATGGAAGCGGGGATCAGAAGTAGGATTCCCTCATGCATCATTCGAGGTCCCGAGTCGGGTGTGCTCTTATCGCGGTCATGTTTGTTGGTTTCTTCCAGTACGAGAGGCTTCCGAGATTAAGGCTTCGGGAACACCAAGAAGAGGTCTTTGCATATTTTCGGGAATCTGCTCTAATATAGCTTATTGCAGGCATCGCCGGTCTCATGACATCACGGTGGTGCCGACTACGAAGGGATCCTTCGGTCTGACAAGATCCTCGTCGACAACTTCAATCATATCGTGCACCAAGAAACAAGATGATCTCCCTCCTCTGGGCACTTTGCCCAGAAACACCAGCAACGGAAACAGCTCACGGTACAGTGTTCCATAGAATCATACGAATAACTCAAGCTGCTCTCTGTCTTATCGTGCCTTCTCGCTGGGCCCTCTTGCCTTCGATCTTTGCTACTCAGTGAGCTGATGGAGCTTTTATCGCGATTTCCGCTCCTGTGTTCGTTACAGTAATCTAGGGGCAGTGAACAGCCAGGCTGTCACCTGGTAGATGCTCAATCAATGTCTCCAGAAACTTCCGTTTCTCTCGATACAACCCTGAGTTGTAGATGAATTTCCCTGCTACCTTCATTATCGTACTGGCGTTTTTCGGGGATAGTGGATGATGGTTCGTCGAAAAGGAGAGAGGCTTCTCATCCTTTCTCGATGACGAGAGTCAGAATTCGGGGCCGCATATCCGAAAGACGAGCTGAGAAGTTTCCTAAGTAAGTATTGTCTCCACTTCAGGCCAATTTCCCTGATCTCCACCCCGATACCGGAACCACCGAATCTTCCGGCGCGACCGAATAGTATTTTGGGATTACCCTCGATACCGGAGATATCGAATGCGAAAATTTCTCCTGAAGCTATCAAGAGAATCACAATAATCCCGGTATTTATTGGGAAAACACTCTGAGTGAATCGGAGAGAGAAAATTATAGAAATCGACATAATTTTTCCCCGGAAATTCACATCTTAGAATCTCCGTCTCAAATATCTCATCTCCCCAGGATGATTCTGGATCCTTTGATGCCTTCCCGATCGAGCCGGAGTATTCGGAGCCCTTGGGTAGCATCGACTCGGCGCTCCCCCCTGAGAAAATCTACCCAGACGGTGATGATTACCCATACCATGACATCTACGAGGAGATCCGGCATCGGGACCACATAAGGGAGGACGACCTGCCTGACGTAGTCACGTCCGCCTACGCATCGGGAGATCAGGTAAATCCACTCGAATGCAATCCAATCCATTAGGGACCGAACGCCGCGCAACCGAAATATGTAAGGATTCCCTGAAGCATCTCCTTACAAACGATTTCCAAAAGATCCGATTTTCTGTTGTTGTTGACGTTGCGATGGAAGCGGCGATCATGGTGCCGGTTTTAGCTTAGGTGATGGTTTTTAACGGATAGCCCTCTGTAAAGTGAAGGACATCCGATCGGTTCGAGGAGAAGAGACGTTTACGTGGATAAGTTTAGATAATTCACAGTTCAAAGGTTAGAACTGTTAGCAGCGAGGTAGACGGCCAACAGCCGCAGCGTTGAAAGCGATTGGCTAACCGCGGGGTGGTATCGATGTCTGCATGGATGGTCTTTCCGCGGATTTTGAATGAGGTCTCGTGCTTATCGTCCAATCGATGTTGCTCCAGGTCTATCAGGAGCTACTGGACCTCGTCAAAGAAGAAGAGATAAAGGAAGAGAAGCGCAGGAGTCAACTATTTTCAGCAGAAACGAAAGGGAATTCCGTGAACTCCCTTGATAGTTCCGACGGCAGTTATTCCCCGGCGGAATCCAATCCCACCGATGACCGGGACAATCTCCGAGATCTTTACGCTGTGCCGAAACGTACTAGGACCGAGGGGCCTCGATTACCACCTCGTCGAGTCAAGAGCAACCACAAAGGAGATCCGAACTGGGTGAGTATGGGAACCGTGGGAAATCAGTTATGGAGGAAAAATCGGGAGATCAGGAGAAAAACTGTTGAATTAGCGACTAAATTACTCGGTCGTGTGACTGAGTGGCTTCCCGCCGTTCGGATTTGCCCGCCAAGCCGAGAAAGAAATGATTCGCGATGTATTTTCCAGGCGCCCAAAGTTCCCGAGAAATCTAGTCTGCTGCGGCGCAGTTTGTCCGACACGGGAGGAGCGAACGACGATAATAATAATAATAAAAGGAATAATGAAAGCGATCGCCAAATGAAGGGAACGCATCAACAGCGCGGGGATACGGAGGCGAACGAAAATGGAAGCGAGACGAGACATTACGAGGTGACGCTAGTCGACAATCGCAAGCAGTCCAGTCGCGAGGACAATGTTTCAGTCGTCTCGGAAGACGCTGTTAACGTCGCTACAACAACCATAGTCATAGGAGACGTGACTGTCGCGAAATCGATGGCGAAACTGAATGAAATTGCTCTGTATGAGGAATCACACGTCCGGAACGATCGATTGATCTGAGAGCGTCTGTCATCATTTGCGTTTCCGGACACGAGATCCGCGGTAAGGGTGTGTTTGATGACCATAAGAATCATGACACCTGATAGCATAACGAATGTTGAACATGTAGGAAGCAGGCGACTTGAACCTTGTTACTGTTTTTATTTATGTGTTCTTGTTGCCTCGACCGCTTCTACGAATAAATTGTATGAATTCAGAATCCATCTCTCGGTGAAGTCGATCATACACAAGGAAGGACTCATGCCGTCCTATATTCAGGCCAACGACCCTTAGGCGAGACGAAAGGTCGCAGCAAAGCCCTGGGATGCCAAGATCGGTCCTCGAGAGAATTCTCTCGGGACACTATTAGAAAAATCCACTCAAATTCCATCATAATCGCTCTTCCAGGTTCCTACACTTCGCCTGGGGAATTCCCAAACGGGTCGGGGTTTCCACCCGAATGCTGAATCTTGATGGGGGTGGTTAGACTTGCGGTCGCTCGCTTCCTATGAGGGCTGAGACTTTCGTTGCCGACGTTTCCGGCGCTGTTTTGATTTCTGTGAAGATTACCACGGACCTCGAGAATTCAGAATTCATTCCTCGTGCTTCAAAATTGCTCCGATACTTATTTTTGAGGCAGGGATAAGGCGCTTTTTCCATTCGCTGAGTCTATGTATCTAGTGATGAGCTTCGTGGGTGACATGTCCGGCGAATAATTGATCACGACGCGCCGGACTGGACGCTTCGGTAAGCTGATCACATCAAGTGGATTTGAATGAGGCTCGGGGCCAGCTCATCCAGATACTAGACATGTAGTCTGCTTCCTGGGAACACCGGATATTCGGGAAATCTACTTATTCGGACGAGGACTCGCGTGCCCATAAGATCTCTTCTAGCTGAATTCCGGTCCCTGGCCGATGCGCTCCCGGCTCGGGCCCTTTAGAATGCATGCCTTCATCAGAGGGTTATGCGGTTAACAGGCCTTCCATATCATTCTAATTTATACTGATGTGAGAGATCCGATCAGACCGACACAACGACGGCAGCGCCGTCCGTCGCGCCGGCTCGGTGAGCACGTACCGAGGTAGCATTACTCGGGAGCTCCTCGTGCCGATATCACTGTATGTAACCTGTTGGAATCACAGCGATCGAGTCGGCACCTGAGGATTCCGGTGCGAACTCCAAGTCCCATACATCAATCCGCAGAATGAGGAAGTCTCCGCCGCTCACACTGACCTCTAATAAGCATGGACAATTTCTTCGGTTCAGTCTGAGGGTCGATTGCCCCTCGAGCTGTACCCAGCTTGCGACAACGCCACCAGCGAAATCGATCTTCTTGTATAAGGTGGTACTGAAGTTTCTAGAGAGTGCAAACCAACTGTAGCTGGTGAGCTCTACCGCAGCCGGTAGTTTCTCCGGCCTCTGATAGAATTTTCTCGCGAGTTTCTTCGCAGCGTTGTTGCAGTTTTCCCAGCTCGCATAGAAAGAAGGCATCGATGAGCTTCTACCCAGGAACTTATCGAACGACCAAGGAGTGTTCGAACGAAAGGCACACACGTTCGCATCCAGTCTCTCCCGGAAAGCGTCCAAGACGTCTTCGATGCGAGTCCGGTCCTTTTCTCTGTCGGCGGCTGCAGTATCCCCACGGATCAATATCGGTACACTAGCGTCGATGAAGTGTTCGTAGATGAACGTTGACGAATCATCGGCGCCCGCTTCAGGCACCGTGGTGAGATCCTCACACGATAAACACTCTTTCGATGATGGAGCAGGCGGCACATACCATGGATTGCTGACGGCACACGATTTTCTATTAAGGACGCTCCAGTCGACGAGAGGTCGAATCGCGATGAGAGATTTACGACCGACGAAATAAAACAAGTCCTCGCTGACACTACAGTAAGCAATTCCGAGCACAAGAACGACAATTGTGAGAATTTTCGAGTAAGAAAGCACTTTTGCGTAGAGCTCCATTTCGGATGCCTTTGAAAATCCCACTGCACGTCAGCATCGTCGACGTGCCCGAAAGCCCCCGCGGCTTGATTCACTGCTAAGCTGATAAGGCACGAATGTGCGACCCGTGGACAAACAGTGGTAAGCAAGCATTTTGCCTCTCCCGAGGCGGGTCACGTCCATCCCAACGAACTTCGATCGAAGAGTCGATGCGAGGGTGAAATGATCTGCGAGACGTTCTGAAGCCCGAAATTAGTAAGGAGTCTTGTTCATTTTATTGCAAGTAGATTATTTATTGCAGTAGCAGGCATTCAAATTTTACACGATTGTCCTCCATTAAACAGCCTTTGAATCAGACAATGAATTGTACTCTCAACCTGTTGGAAGTTCGTCGTCTCCTATAATTTCTTTCCGTAAATGCACGACAGCGTTGGCGTCGTTGTCACCAGGATGATCGTTTCGATCAAATCACCCTCCGCCGCAAGAGAGCTGACAATGATTGTACTCGAGGTGATAATAATAATAATAATGATTATTATGATGATAAGGTTTCAATCATCAATGATCAGTACGTTTCTGACGCCACTGATACTATGTATTCACCACGTACATGACGAGTCTGTCAGTCATTTCTCCTCTACATATCGTCCTGCCTGCTTTGGAGCTCCGCCGTTTTCCTGGAGTCCGCAGACCCGCAGCGGGCTTCGCAATTGAATGAATTTTCTATAATTAAAATATTTAACCTCAATTCACACTTTCGACATCGAGTGCGCTTTAACCACATAGACTATTTTATAATCATAACCGTTGTCACCCGAAGAAACACACGACGACAAACTCTGATTCGCAGATTCTAATCTAAGTATTCATAAAACCTCAAATCGAAACCAATAACTGCAGCAACTAAGGACTCGCGCCAGGCCGAATCCCCTCTCTATAATGTCCCATCGCTTCGCACACCGGCAGATCTCGCATCGAAGTGCTCAAGAGTCCGATTATGCTTTTTGCACATCCCCGTTTCATTATTCGTGCCGCAACGCGTCAATGTGGATTACAAACGACTAGGTACCGTCACGCCAAAGTCCAAACATGAGGCTCTTCTGACGCCCCGCAAAGAACGCTGCTTTGTTGACGTGACGCAGTACACTGGAAATACTTGAGGTGTCCATCCTCCCGACGTGGAGGGGCGTTTTCCTCTCGCTCTTATAACACAAATATATTCCTACAGATGAATTGTGGAGGTATACTACTTCTCCAGAATTTATATTATTGCGTTCACTACTATGTATCGCTAAGATAATGATGAATATAGGATCTATGGTACATGGAAGGCTTTGGCAGACGGAATGCCAACATTCTATGCTATTCATTTATACTTGAAGTGCTCTATTTTCCATCCTCTTTCTTATCTACAATTGGAACAGGCCTTCTTGCGGCTATCATCAACAGCAGTGGCAGCCACTCAGCCTCCAGCCCGGGTCGCCGAGAAGCCCTTACGAGCTCGATCCAGAGGCCCGAGAGGACTCATTGCCCGCTGGCGTTGAGATAGATTTTCGCTAGGAAAGATCTCGGGTAGTCTTTTCTGTTTCATGTGTTTTGCGTCGAATCGAATATCGAAGAACTCCCGCGAGCTCAACTTTTATTTGGGTTCTGCTGTATTCGAAGTCGCTTCGCGTAAATGTATTGCACCATTCTCCGGGCGGTCCGAGGTTGTGTCATTGCGGGAGAAATGTGACGATACTCCGAGTGCGGCGACGCTTTAGAATAGAGCGACAGGGAGGACGGAGTCAGCGGACACACGGAGAATACTCGCGTGACACGACGGCAGGCTCGTGCTTGAGCTTCTGGTACGCCCCCGAGAGAAGTTTTCGTGCTTAGTTTTTCTTTCCTCGCCTGTGTCGAAGCGAACGAAAGTGACGAATTTCTAACAGTAAACTTACAGCGTCAGTTCCCACGGCTGTATCGGAAGAGCCATCGGAAGCATCATCGATCTTTTTTGCTCGTCGCGTTGGCAAGGGTAAGCAACGTTCGATGACAGGAGCAAACGTTCTTACTTTTGTGTTGAGTCGCAATTCAATCAGCGAAAACGAGGAATATTGAAAAGAGAAGAAAGAAGACCGATGACAAGAAAGACGTCAAGCATGCGAAGACAGAACCGCGCCGTCTCGACTCGAGCTTCGGCTAACGAGAAAATCTGTGAAAATATCCCTTCTGTCGACAGAAAGTTCTCAAATGAGTTGGAGCTACCGCAGAAATTGCTCTTGTCTCACGCGCGCGATTGCCCGAGCGGACCCCATAGCCAATTACCATTCAATCAATCAACGAACCGACCAACAACTTGACGAGCATGCCGCCAGTGGTCGAATCGATCATGGGAGCAATGCATACATTTCGTGAGCGCTACCGACTGAGCTCCAGCGGGAGGTGCTCGTTTCCACTGCTCCCAGGAAATTCGCTTTCGACAATTTCAGTCCCCTCTGTTTCCCGAACGGCTTAATAGTCAGTGCAGGGGGCAGGGGGCGCTCGAACACCGATCGCGTCCGACGTGCTTCCGGGAGTTCGATCGAAATCGGTCGATTGATCATTCGGTCGTCGATCACCGTTTCCTGAAGGAACGGGCACTTCGCAACGAGTCCTTAAACGTCTCGAGGAGACTTCAAGTGCGGGCTGCATTCGGCATGCATGTCATTGGACACCGACCAAGGAGCTCACGACCACAATGCGAACATGCGGAAGAATGAGACTACTCATCAGGGGAGACCGTGGCTCGATCTTCTCGCCAAAAATAGAAGCGATGCGCGAGCGCTCTCCGGAGCGGTGTGTCTAGAGGGAGGCGACTCGCGTGCCATCGATCAGCGAATCAGAAATTAATTTGATATCGAATCAGACGGAGTCGCGGTCTCATACCGAATCCATGGCCGACAACTGACGTTAGAACAGTAAAAGCGAGGAATTATTCCCGGAGAATATGTGGGTTCAGCGGAATCGGGTCAAGCGTGTAGCAGACCGGTGATCTTGGCTCTCCAATCCTCTCTCCAACACGTTTCGTGGCACCGCGAGAGAGTGTG